TGTTAAGCAAAAAGTTAACTGTTTTGAACAACAGAAAGGCTCAGTTGTATTAAAAGCACCCCTAGATGTCAGCATAGCTCTCAAAATAAAAAAATGCAGATATGGAAGAGCTGAATAAACCAGTATTTCAAGGATACCTATCAGATGTTTAATACACAGTAGCACTAAAATTCCATTAACTTTTACCACGGAGGAAGAATGTACCAACACCTGAAATAGCCATATATTTTCCATACGTACCCAGATCTTTTAGCTTGGCCCACATGGTGTGGGCAAATTCTGTTCGATCTACTGGACTGAACTCAGGCAACAAGGAACCACAGCTTCTCAAAAGCAGCAGGGCCTGGTTGCTACTTGGATACCCTGAAATGGAACAATGTATTTAAAGAAGCAATACAAGCAGATCATTAAATTAATCTACACTGATTTAAACCCTAGATCTAGCATAGCTTTTTAAACTTGAGGTCAAAATATCCACAATGACCCTTGGCAGTGGGCAATAAAAGCAGCAACTCTAGCCCAAGCTTTTTAACACAAAGGACCTACCCACTTGGATGGCCAGAAACACTTCCATGTATAGGCATTTATTACAAATTTGGCAAGGCATATTTGAACAAACCCTTCACCTCAAGTTTTGAAGTAGTGCCATACAATAGTTTGGTACCACATGAACAAAATCTTCGGCCCTTCTTCCCCATCCCTCCCATGCTGAGATGCCATTAACAACTTCCACTTTGGCACAAATCATAGTTTGCTGGTTGCACACCAGCTTCTAAGTAGCTTGGACTTCTGATTTGGATGGCAAGCACAAACCACAGGTTGCTTCTTGAAGAGGAAATAATTAACTGGTGCCGGGGAGGGAGAGAAGAGAAGCACACAAGTCTAAGGTTCATTCATGGAGTGCCAACCCATGGATAGTCATTACATATAAACCACCATATTATATTCTTTGTGTCGGCAGAACTTTTACATGGCTTGGGGAAACTAGTGGGTTGTTTTAGACTAGTGCATAGGTGAAGCAAAATATATGAGGATTGGTTGAGGGTGGCTTAGTGAAAGCCAAACAGGGCAACTATGCTATATCAGAGATGCAAAAGCCCTGGAAAAATAGAAAAACCCAGAAAGCACACACACGCACACCCCCGGGATGTTGGGAAACACTAGAAAAACTCCTATGAAATATTTCAATTTTTTCACATTTCCTGTTTTTCTTTTGAAAGTTTAATGCTGGGATTCTGGTACTGTGGCAAACTGCATGGGGACACAAGGTTACATGCATACAAGCTGAACTTGTTTTTGTACTTGGATTCCACCATATGAATACTTGTGGGTGTGTTCCATCACATCAAGTTTATAGCACAAGAGCGCACATATGCGGCCCCAAAGGAAAATCTAGTTACTGTTGTATAATGAGGACTGATACTTCAAAAATTTATAATACACATCAGACTTGCAAGGGAGAAGTAGGTGACCAAACAAAACCAGGGATGTGACATGGAGGCAGGCAACAGCAAACCACCTCTGGACATCTCCTGCCTTGGAAACCCCACAGGATTTCCACAAGTCAGCTGTGACTTGAGAGCACTTTCCACCACCACCAGCACTAGGTAGGGCCATTTCATATTTTCTTTAGTTAACTGTAAACATTCCCATTTATTCAACAGTTCAAAGCAATTGAAACTTTAGGCAGAAAGTTATTCTACCTGTTCTGCATACATCATGGAATATTTTTAATAGAAGAGTTCTAGTGATGCGCCCAGTTCTTCTGATAGACTTATCCAGTTTGTTCAAGGCCCAGTCAAAATACTGTGCCTGCCTAATTCGAACAGATGAAGCAGGTGGTTCTTGAGCATCTCCTTTCTCTTGCGTCTCTTGTGTCGCAACTGTGAAAAGCCTTGTCTGGTAGATCAGATATCTGTAGAACAAGCAAATGCTGAAAACCATCACACTGACAAATAAAGACTACACTATCTATTGTACTTTTATGACCCCTTGTTAATGATATAATTCTCACTACTGCTTCTGAATTCATGGGTTGCCACAGCTTAATTCTTATATCTTCATATCTAAAATAACATAGCAGAAAACCCCCAAACTAACAACTCACTAGATGCTTGATCAAAACACATGAAGAACAAGTGCGCTAGTTCAGATCGAAAGGTGTTTCAATGTTAACACTTAACACTGCCTTGTCCAAGGCATACTAAGCCTAAAAATAATACTTCAAGATCCACCCCAAGGCTACCCAGGATGGCACCACCACTACTTCTTCTGGTGCCTGCCCAAACTTTCAGAGAGTGTGGGGGGCCATTGTAAGACAGGGCATGTTATTGGCTGCTCTCATTCAAATTAAAGGTTTTCCACAGTTTGCAGTATCAGCTGTAGCCAATCGAGGATTAGGACAACTGGTAAGTACCTGGGCTTTCCTCAGCCAGTGGGCAATTCTATTCCCCTTCATACTTGACCAACTGTTGCCATGAGGTTCTTTTGCAAAGCAGACAGAGGGAGTTTGCTCTAGTCTTAAGAGTCCAGGAGCTGGGCTGTGACATGAGAGGAGATAAGTGTTCAGCAGCAAAAGCCCACCCCCTCCTTCTCCAGCTGAAATACAGATAATACTAACAGACTAATGGCTGGACACTGAATAAGGAAGCTTCATGTTTTCAGCGATTCTTCGGCAAAGCAAGGAGGGAGATACTGCATTTGGCCCTGTCTCCTGTAGCAGCCATTTTAGGTGTACTCAGCATCACCCCTCAAAATTCCAAAAGTGCCCACAGGCTCAGAAAAGGTGCACACCCTGATCTACACCTATGCAGTCCACAGATGGCCAAACGTTCCCAGCTGGCGGCAAGTTAAGTGCCATAGCCATGTTGGAATTCTGAACATACACAGTTAAAGCAAATTTGAAGACTTCCAAGTTAACAGTAACCTGTGAGATAAATATATGTTAAGACAAAGTAGACAAAGAAGATGGATAGGAACTAAAGAACAAATACAAAAGATGAATGAAGGTGGGAAACCCAAACACTGTGTATCATCTATTACTACAGACCCAATTCCCAAAAGAAGAAAGTGTTGACACAGGTTAATATAAACCCAGACGATAAATCATAACCCGGAAGCTGAGCGCTATGATAAAATGCCCGGGGCGGGGGGGGGGAAAAGTTTGAAGACCAGTGACTATATTTGGCTCCAACATCTTAAGACATCTTATAGTAGTCATTTTCCCCATAGGATCTGCCAGCCCTTTTAGCTAGCCATATCCTACAATTCCCTGAAAATGGTGACATACAAGGGACCTCCCTTACAAATAAAGGAAACAACTTGTCACCATGTTTTGAGAAGAACTATGTGAACTCCTATGCCCAAAGCTCTCAGAAACGGTTTGACAGACTCTACCAATTGTTACACTAGAACAGCAAGAATCTTTTTAAGGGTTTCATAGAAAATATAGGAGCTGCCCTGAGCCAATGTAATATACAAGTATTCTTGTGCCTGAAATGTCTTCCACTTTTCTGTATCATCGCCAAAGTCCAGTTTTAACTCACAAGTAATGCAGCCGTTACACCTTCTACAGCAGAAACTGACTTGATAACCAGTTACTGATCACTGGGAAAATGCATGCAACACAGATTTCATAAGAATGTCAAGCATACAAAAAAGAGCTGTAGTGTATTCAAACTGTTATTTTTTTTTAATGAAAACCTGTTTTACTGTTTGATTTACTGGAATAAATAAGCTCTTCATTAAATGTGAGCTAAATCTTATTTTCACTAAATGTACACACACTAAGAACTTCTTGGGTCATGGTTCAGAACAGATGAAGGACTTGAATTGGATTTAGTTGAAAATTTTCACTGATGGGATGGGGAGAGGAGCTTCCGGTACGGCGCGTTGACAGGAGGACACTCGGCTCGCGCCGAGCCCCCTGATTCACTTTCATTTTCTTTTGGGCCTCCCGTTTGTCAGGAGAGCTCAACCAGCCCTCCCAGAGACAGGGCTGGAGCAGAGGGCATTTTTTCCAGCCCCTCCCGTGTCTTGGCAAAGCGGGGGGGTGACCGGAGTGGCCCTGAAGCAGAGACGAAGGTGTGAAGGAGCATGGCGCTCATGCTCCTTTTAGACACTGCCATCCGTCCTTTTTAACTATACGAAGAAGAGAAATAACCACAGCAACAGAGAAAAAGTGTGAGTAAGACTTCTGTGGAGTGTTAAGTGGAAAAGGGAAAATCTCCAAGTGAAATTGTCCAAAAAGGGGAGTGATGGTGGCCGAGAGACGTTTGGGACTTAATTGTGGAGTGGAAACTGATATGGGGAAAGAGAAATACTTTCTGTTGGCGTCTTTGTAGCTTGTTGGATTTGCTTTAAGGACTTACAAAAACAAAACAATAATAGAATACATGAGAGTAAAGTGGTTGGATTGATTTGAAGAGCTGGTGTAAAATGGAATGGAAGATGGATGCGGAGGAGCAGCTTGACGAGAACATGTATGTTTGCGAGGTGACGGTCGAGCAACTCCTTCAAATGGTGAAAGAGGCGGTTCAAAAGGGTTGTGAGGAGGTGTGTGCAAGACTGTGGGGGGAAAAAGATAACGCTCAGACAGAAATGGAAAAAGTGGGAAAGCAGGGAAAACAGGAGCAAACTAATATGAAGGAGAACTTGGAGGACTGCCAAAAGGAGAACAGCATCCAGGAAGAGGAGGAAAATTTGGAGCTGGTAAAAGTGAAGGACAATGCAAAAATCCAACTCTTACAGGGTGAAACAGTGCAAAAAGAGGGAACAAAAAGATTGTTAGTATCTCGTGCTAAGCCAGGGCTGGCAAAGGAAGAGAAACAACGGATGAAAACTGAAAGAGACAGAAAGGTTACAAGAAGAAAACGTAGGGCTTGGAAATTTAAAGGGAACAACAACAAAATAAGGGAAATAGAATGGTTGAAAACCAGAGAAGAGAGGATTGGAAGACAAAGAACAAATAAAGATAGACGACAAGTAGACATGCTGAGGCTAAAAAGTAGATGGCAAATGATTAGAAGGAAGAACAAACTGTATAAAAGATAGGAAGCCCGGTTTTCTGTGAATATAGGATGAAATGGAAAAGTGACCCTATCTATGTATTTATTTATCTGTTACAGTAGAATGGTGGTGGGATAAACTGTATAAAAGTTAGAAAGTCTGGTTTTCTCTGAATATAGGGTGAGATGGAAAAATGAGTTTTAACCTATTTATTTATGTATTTATTTACTTGTTATAGTAGAATGGTGGTGGGTATAGGAAGGAATGAACTCAGGTGGGATTAGGAAAGATTTAGTAAGGTAAATAGTAAGAAGGAGGGGACAATTAAGTTGGGGCAAATTAGGTTAAGCTATTTATTAATGTCCTATTTAGTAGGAAGTGTTGGCTGAATATAAAATAATCTGGATGATAATTTAAAATGAGTTTGAACAGTAAGGGTTTTTTCTTCTTTCTTTCCCCTTTTTCTGGTATGCTTTTGTCCTTTTCCTTTCTTTGGTTTACTTTTTAGACAAAAGTAATATAAGGTTATGAATGAAATGATAATAAAATGAACTCATGATTGTAAGAGCAGTTAAAGATTAATTAAAACAAAAGTTAATGAAATGGTATGCTAATGGAATAAGCAATAATACAATTAGAATGATTTGATATGATTTGATTATGGTAATGGTACATTTTCAATGATGTGGAGTGATATCAGAAGGATAAGTAGATTCTACTGCAACAGTGTAGCATGATCTATGCTTGCTATAGATTAAATATAGTTGAATAAAGATAGGTATAGCCCAGGCAGATAAATAACTGAGAGATAATGGTACAAATAAAAGGTAAAAGCCTAAGAGTAAAAATATGACAGCAACTCCATTAACTTAATATGATACAAAGGCATTCAGGAGATGTTTAAGGAATTTATAATCTGTAAAGATTGAAAGAAAAGTAAAAAATATACTAAAAGAACTGAATTTAAAAATATGTTAAAGGTTAAACCCTGCTCTCATTCTGGAAACAAAGAGTCAGCAGATTACTGGAGGATGAGAGATGTGTAAAAATAAGATAGTATGAAGGTTCTATATTATTGACAGGAAGGTGGTAATAGTTTTCTGAAAAGTTAGTAAGTAAACTTTAAGGAAATTGTAATAGTAGGTTTTACTCAACACAGAAGAGATATTCAAATGGAAGATGAGTTTAAAACATGCATGTAAATGTAGTTTGATTGGTTCATTACTCTGTGCTGATGGGGAAGATAAAAGTTGTTATAGGATTTTTTATGTAATCTTGTTGGTGATTTGGTTGATATGTATGAGACAGGCTGATATGATAAACTCCAATAAATATATTGTTTAAAAAAAAAATTCCACTGATGGGTGGGAAGCAATTTTCACCAACTCCCCCTTTCCATGACAAGTCTCCAATTTCCTCCCTCATGCTGTCCTTGGTGGCACCATATTGGGAGGGCATCTGAGGCAGAGCCTGAGAGGTTTCACTCCACTGATTGTGTCAAGAGAGAAGCCATCTTATAGGAAGATTCCAGCTAAACTTTAATTCCTTTGCACTCTGACTTGTTTGCAGGTGTCACCCCCCACACACACACAATAGCTAATCTCTATTTTACTTTGTACAGCAAGAAACACAGTTGCTGCCCACTGGAAAAATCTTTTGCCACTTCACATTGATACTTGGTTTAGTCCTATTTAATCTTCTTTTGTTATGGCAAAGGTTACCATTGGCACTATGCAACCATATAATATTGTTATGGCAACCTGGTTTCCACTAATGCAATTTTTGTCTGAACAGGATATCATTCCGAACAATCCAATTTACAAAGATATGATCTTTTTCCAGTTTTTGCCATTTTCTTTTCTTTGTTGAAGGCTGATTGTTTTGATGTTTTGATTGGTTTCCCTGTAT